GCGTTTGGCTGCAAGTTGATCTTGGTGCGGAACAGGTAATTCCATAGAGCTGGCGTAAAGTTCCAGTCGCGCCTGAACTGTGCAGCCACTTGCCGCTGCGTTGCGGCGCCCCAGGCTTCAACGCCAACGCTAGGCGCATCTGGGTTCCACGCTTTGCGCCTGGAGATTCTTTCAGCGTCATCATCGTCCTCGGTCAGTGGGCATTTTGGGTCTCTCATCACGTAGCTGGGAAATTGCAAGCCGTCACAACCAAAAGTAAACTAAGAATGTGCTTCTTTCGTTGAACCGTGCTGCAACTAGGGCAGTTGTCTTGTGAACGTCCGGCCCGGCAGTTGCATACGGGAACAAGAAGCAAAAGGCGATGCTCCAATAGTACGAATGAAACTGGTCCAAGAGCTTGTTGCCCGTGCGAATTTCCAGGGGCTGCACCCCAGCAGCACGGTCGGCCTCTGGCACCATATTTTCCCGAAGGTCCTTGAGCGCTGCGGCTTGGACTTCGTGGGCTTGATGTAAGCTTTGGCCTTCTGCGACCACAGATCGTGGCCGTTGAGCCGCAAACACAAGTCCTTGCAGCGCAGGGTCAAGTCGTATAGGAATTCATTTTCAACATTGACAAAAACATTATTGGGTTTCCTGTCCTGCAGCGGCCGGGTCAATATGCATTCCATCAACAGGCGTTGCTGCTTTCTGTGATTCGAGCTTGCTGTAAGCACGGTCATCCACCTCTTGGATGACCTCCAACACCTCCTGCGGAACGCCATGCTCCGGCAATGCCCTCGCATTTGCCCGCACAGCATCGGCGTCCAAGCTTGCAAAGGCGGGGCTGCCAAGCGTCTTCATGTCCAAGATCAAGTCTACCACCACCTATCACAGAGGCAAACGCGTAAAAACAGCACACGCGCGTGATTTGCACACAGAAACAACATTCACATGCACCTGCGTACCCCCGGGCCTGTCTTCTCACTGTGGCTTGATGGATCAATGTCTTAATCTCCTCTTCCGTGGTGTTGCCATCTTTGTTGGTTCTGAGGATCACCCGCACAATATCACCTAATTGTTTGCCAGATCGAGGTAGCGGGACATCAGAATCTAAGAAATCGTTCAGCGCGCGGAGCACCTCTTCTGTGGGCAGAGGAAACGTGATCACATTTCCTCTGGCTCCATAGCGGTGGCGCGCCATATGCGCAGTCTCATCAAAGGCCGCAACGTGTGATTGATTGCGGTGTCGACTCTCCATGCTCATCAGAATCATGGATGTCAAAGCAGGGCTGGCACAAATCAGTTCCATTGCCGTCACTTGGTCCGTGTAGATGCGTTTCAGGGCATAGCCTGTGAACATGTCGTTT